GAACGTTCCCTTCTTTTTGAAGGCTCTGTCTTGTGTTTTTATAATTGATAGGAAAGTGACATTGCCCAAGGGAATCTACATTCCAATGTCTCCCTGCTTCATCTTGTCCCTCAAAGAAAATGTTCTCGTGCATTATCATATGTCTATGTACCAGCACCACTGCTTTATTAATAACTTAATAATATACCCAGAGTTTTTATCAGTAATAGTTTTGCAACTCGAATGGTGTTATTCCTTTTCTTCTTATGTTTTCTCTCTCTCTCTCTCTCTCTCTCTCTCTCTCTCTCTCTTCTTATGCTAACCTCTTGAATTTGATATATGTTTTCATTGTGCTGGTGGGACCAAAATGGGGAGACACAGGATAGTGGCCTGTTTCATGGCTTTCCTGTTAAATAATGCGGGGAGATCTATGTTCAAGTGATGTTATTAATAGTATCTTATCTGACCATGAAAGATTTGACACTTGCTGTTGTATTTAAAATCTTTTGGAAGTAATTCCACAATATCAGCAGCTCCAATCTTCTATGACATCTATACTTGTAGTCAATTTAGTTCCATCTTTTTTCAGACGGTACAATAATTTTGAGGTTGAGATGAAGAGTAAGATATGCATGTTCCTAAAGTTGCTTGGGAAAAATCAAATGCACGCTATATATGTTCTTCATCTGGTTGAAATTTATCAATCATGAATTTTGAATATATCTTTTAGGGCTCTCATAGGTATATTTGAACCTTATAAACCAGACAGAGAGGGTACTGGGTCCATTTGAAGTTTGGTTGTCACATAGTGATTCAATCGATGAGAAGACCATAATGGTCAATGGTCTTCAGACAGTGGTGAGACATTCCAATGGCTATTAATTATATTTTTTTAGCTGTTCTATGATTGAATATTAGAATGGATAATAGTATATTTCCAATTTTAAAGTTTATTTTAGGAAATATAATTAGGGATTTATTTTATCGTATTTTCCTACGTCAATTACTATTAGTTTAAACCCTATATAAAGGGTGTCTATACAATGTAATTGACAACCTTTGATAATGAAATGAATTGATTTCTC